CGAGGGGCCGTCGGCGGCCGCCCAGACTCGGAGCCGCTCGGGGGCCACCTGGCCGCCGGGCCCGCAGGGGGCACGACGCTGCCGGGCAAGGGCGCCCAACCTCGGGTCCCGCCCCTGCGCCCCGCGGGGCCTGCTCAGGGGCTGGCCCAGCCACTCGGCCATCGTGGCTGAAGCGGCGCCGCCAGCCGCCCGCGCGAAGGCCTGAGCCTCCCGGGCCTTCTCGAGGCTTCCCAGGCCTTCCGGAGTCTTCCCGGGCCGCCTCGGGCTTCCTCAGCCTTTCGGGGCCTTCTCCGAGGCCTCCCCGACTTTCCTGGACCTTTCAGGGCCTTCCCGGCCCTTCTCTGGGCCTCCCGGCTGCGGGCTCCGCCAGGCGGCCAGTAGGCCTTGGCACCCAGGGCATAGCCCTCGGGCCTCTCTCCATTGCCTGTTCAAATACAGCCGGGAGGTTTGGCCCGCACTTCTCTACACCGAACCAACCACGCAGACATACACAAAGTTATAACTATGCTTATAATATAGTAAATAACTAAAATGGAAGAAGAAAGGTATCCCTGCTGAAAGCAAGCCCCACCTGTGATCAGTTTCAGGTCAGCCATCGGTCTTATAATGGGAAGAACAAGATTTTTTTTTCTGTCTGGAATACATGTGTATCAGAGGAGCCCCATTCCGTGCCTCCGAATGGCTATCTCTTATTGCTGCTCCATGAAGTAAGTGGAGGGGAAGGGGAAGAGTCTCTCAATGCCTCTCTATATAGCTCCCCCTCCCACATCAGTTTGATATAGAGAAAAACTTAAAATAAATCAAAACCAATTATATAAGTACAGTATATGAATGCTGAAATTGTCAGTTATATTTTTTCTAATAAAGCATTGACATTGAGGAAGAAATTTTTGCAATCCTTTGCTGATGATGCTCTTCTGTTGCGTCACATTGAACACCCAGCTCTAGATTCAAACCCCACAACATCTCAATAAGCATCTAAATACACTGGTTCTTAACATCTGGGGGGAGGGGATCCCATGCCCTTTGAGAATCTTCCCTCATGTCTACCAACTGTTCAACACGATTTCAACGGGTTCTCAGATACTTGACACTCTGGCTCCTGTCTCCTGCCTCTGCACTTCCCTTTTCCCTCAGAAAGGCCTTCCCTTTACAGAAGCCTTTCCCACACACCCTACCCTAGTTCATGACACCCTGTCTCTCTGTTTTCTTCTTTGCACTCTTCACAATTTTGTTTGTTAATCCTGCTTACTTGTCTGCTTTTTCCTCGTCTGTCTCTCCCCAGTGGACTATAGAACTTCGTGGGACTGGGGCCTTGCCTGTCTAGTTCATTACTGTATCCCTATCACTTTAAAATTGTGCTGGTCACTCCGGTTAAAATGGCTATTATCAAAAATACAGAAAATATTAATAATGAATGCTGGTGAGGAAGTGGAGAAAGGGGAATGCTTTCATACCGTTGGTGGGAATGTAAATTAGTACAGTCACTACGGAAAACAGTATGAAGGAAACAAAATGGAACTACCATATGATCCGGGAATCCCTCTACTGGGTATTTATCCAAAAGGAATCAGTATGTGGAAGAGATACCTGCACTCCTATGGTCCTTGAGGCACTATTCCTAATAGCTAAGATACGGAATCAACCTAAGTGTCCATCAATGGATGAATGGACAAAGAACGTGTGGTATATGTACACAATGGAATATTATTCTGCTAAAAAAAAGAATGAAATCCTGTCATTTGGAGCAACGTGGATGGCAATGGAGAACATTATGTTAAGAGAAATAAGACAGACACAGAAAGACAAATACTACATGTTCTCACTCATATGTGGGAGCTAAAAAAATTGATCTCATGGAGATAGAGAGTAGACTGGTGGTTACCAGAGGCTGGGAAGGGTAGGGGAGAGGGGGAGATAAGGAGGGGATGGTTAATGGGTACAAATATAGAGATGGATAGAAGGAATAATATCTAGTGTTCAGTAGCACAATAGAGCAATTACAGTTAATAATTTATTATGTATGTCAAAATAACTAGAATTGGAATGGTCCTAAAATAAACAAATGATAAATGTTTGAGGTGATGGATATCCCAGTTACCCTGGTTTGATCACTGTATGCTTGTATCAAGCTGTTGTTAGAGTAGGAGACTAGGAGACAGGGCTGAGACCAGATGCAGCGGCT